TTCCAGGATTGCATCCAGGGTACCACATGACAGTTGTCATGTCTCCTTAGTTTTCTCTGGTCTGTGACAGTTTGTAGCTCTTTTTGGTTTTCATTAACTTGACAATTTTGAGGAATACTGGTCAGATATTTTGTAGTGTCCTTAATTTGGTTTGGTCTGATGTTTTTTCTCAGTTAGAAACATCAATGTTGCCTCCTGTACTCACCCTGACTGGGGATGGAACCTCCAAGCTAGGTATGTGCCCTGACTGGTAATCTAACTCTCAACCTTCGGGTACACAGGATGCTATTCCAACCAACTGAGCCACACTGGTCAGGGCTCCAATTTTGTTTTTAATGGCAATTAATTCTTTGGGTCGCTTTGTTAAGTTTCTTCTTTAGGATGGAGGGAAGGAGAGTCTGGGAGGCCAAAAGCAATATTCAGCCAACTTAAGCTAAGACTTGCCTCGGTCAGGGCACTTGGACCATGACCTTGGGCAGGAGAGGTGGCCAGACTGGTCAGAGGTGGGCAGAATAGGACTTATAATTCATCATGAACGAAACCCCAAGTGAAGGCAAAAAAGGAGGTTCCACTCTCAGGCTTAGGAGGCTCATGGGACAGGAGGTGGATAGAGGAGAAACTGGAGAAGGGATGAAAGCAAGCTTCTCCTCTCAGCTGGACTGTCCTGAGGGACATGAACCGCAAAAGAGAGTGTAACCCCAATAGCACCGCCATCCCAAGCCTGAGGTGTGGACAGACTTGGGGACATCCAGGCTTATGTCACCCATTGCATGGGCCAACACAGCTGAGTCTGGGGACCTGGAAAAACCATCTGGAGCCTGCCTCAGTGCCTGGTCTGAGGAGCAGCTCCCAGCCTGGGAGGATGCTTCTCAGAAATGGGCAGGATCAGACAGCTTATAACGGGGTTTGTATGCGCTCTCTTTCCTGGAATGGGAGTGTGGCGGGTGGTGAACAAACTGTGACTCTCTGCCTAGGTCTCACAGGCTTTTGCCAGATTTCTGAACCTGTTCTGGGGCAGAGGTGCACTTAGTGGTAGGAACTGGGGTGAAGAGGTAGGTTCTCTGCATTAGCTACACACCTGGGTCTACCCCTCCATTGTTTGGCCTCTGAGCCCATCTGCCCTGTCTCCTCCTTCCTCCTTCCCCCTTTTCTCATGTCAGGTGGCCCTCAGGGGGTATCACAAGACAATTCTCTAAAGGCTCTGATTTGCCCCTGAATGTCTGGGCTGGGCAGGAATGGTAAGGTTGACTGGAAGACTGAACTTTGGTCAGGGAATACCTCTAGACAATCACTTCCCCAACTCTAGGCCTAAGCCTTCTCAATTGTAAAATGAGGGGTCAAATTCAATTATTGCTTCATTGCCCTTTAAAAAAAGCTATATTAGTTATAATAAATATCAATCTGTAATTTATAGATTATTCATAATCTATAATCACTAATCTATTAAATTAATAAAAATCCAACATAAAATTGCCCCTGCTTCATTCTGAAGTGACATTAATATTTGTGTTGGTTTCTAACACTTGCTAGTCCTTGTTCAGGTACATATTCAATTTTAATGTATTTATAGTGTAGGGAGCGGCTATAGGGTTAAGCCTTGGACTGCCCTGTGGCAGGGCCACAAACAAGTCCCAGCTTGGAGGGCAGAGCCCTCTTAGTGTAATTAAGCTTAACTTCAAACCCCCCCTAGTTCCTTGTAGGTAGCTAATGGGCTGTGGGAGATGCAGCAAGTGCTGCCAAAACAAGTGAAACTCACAAGAACATTGTAACTATATTAACCACTACCTTGTTTTTCTCTGATTATAAAATAAAGCCTCAGATTGCTGGCTGGGTTTTTTCTGTGTTCTCATCCAGGCATGGGATATCAGCCAAGCCCCAGCTATATTCTCTTGTCTGTCTTTTCTTTAATCCTTCACCGCCCCTCCTCAGGCTCACCGAACCCTTGGCTGTGCTGGCACGGCACATATAGTAATAGCATAAGTATATTTAACATTTTCAATTAACATTACACTGCTTTTTTCCTTTTCCTTTTTATACCTACACTCTTTTCCCCCCATTCTAATCTTGCTGAGGTAACCAATGTTAATAGCTTAGTTACATATGCACACATATATGTACCGTATTTGCCGGCGTATAAGACGATTTTTTGGCCCTGAAAAATATGCCTCCAAGTGGGGGGTCGTCTTATACGCCAGGTACACTTCAGATAGACTGCCCATAGTGCTTGCCCCATGCCATAGTGGCCTCTCGATGCCCGCCCACTTCATTCCACATACCGTTCAGGCATCAGCAGCGCTGCTGGGTGTATGCTCG